CGAGCGTTAATAACGCCCCACAAACGCCTATAATACGGTTTGAGTGGTGTTACCTCTCCGCAAACGCCCCGCAACCGCGTCGCAACCGCACCACAAACGCCGGCCGGGCGTTTGCGGAGCGGCACCATAGACGAGAATAGGAGGCTTCAAAGCCTCCTGACTCGACCAGAGGCGTCTGTTTTGCCGCGAAGCAACGCGACGCGACGCAAACACTCCCGTTAGAACAGCACCATGTGCTGTAATGTGCAGAATTGGCAGAGGCGTTTGGGAAGCAGTAAAAACGCTTCCCAAACGCCTCTCTGCCGCCTGCACACAAGGCTAGTGTGAACGTAGCCTAATGGTCATCGGAGCAGCTGTGGGACTAGTCTTGTTATTTACCCTACATTGGTTGTAGAATACAGTGCCTAGTGGTTTGTCTATTTTGCTTTTGGAAAACTATGAGCAAACTCAGAGTGACAACTAGGACCGGGGAACAAAGCACAAAAATAAAAAAACGCACTGAACTGGCGCTCCAGATAACTGTTGTATAAGCACACTGTGCAGTCAGCTGTGTGGGACAGGCTTGTGTGCTGATAAAGTCAGAGCCCACGAATCCACATAAATCAAAGAGTTCAAAAGCTTTGTTTATTTAAGGATAAGTTCACCTTTTGGACAAAAATAATAAATGCACATTTTTTTTGCAGGTAAAAAAATGTGCATTTATTATTTTTGTCCAAAGGATCCTGTAAAGCATTGCATCAGTGATCAGTATATCGCTGATGCCATGCGGGTCTCCCACAGACCTGTCAGAATATCTGCTTGCCGTACGGGATGTAAGAGCTGATATCCTGACAATAAGCTTCAATTAACTACCACGGCACCTCCACAGCGCTATGGGAAAATGCTACATGTTCCACCCTAAAAACAGGTGGAACATGTAACATGTTCCCAGAGGTGAACTTATCCTTTAAATTAGTGGTCTCTAAACTGTGACCCAGGGGCCAGATGCGGCCTTTTGCTTGCTTTTATCCAGCCTTTGGGGCACTGTTTCATCCACTAACACCAACAATGAGGCATAATTCCCCCCCACTGACGAAAATGAAGGGGCACAATTTCTCCCAATGACAAGGCACAGTACCTCCAAATGACATCAATGATGGGGCACAATTTCTCCCAATGACACCAATGTTGGGGCATTGTTTTTTTTCCAACTGATGTTGGTACCTTTTCTGCTCCCAATGGCCACAATCCAGCCCTCCTAAAGTTTGAAGGACAGTAAACTGGCCCTTTGTTTGTAAAGTTTGGAGACCCTTGCTTTAAATAAAGCATAAAATGACTCACATAGAGCAACACAGCATACCAATTGTTAGTCAAATCCAGTCTGAGCAAACGGATTGGGAAAATGTTTGTATCCCGAAACATGTTATCCTGGCATAGGCTCTAGGCATTCTCCCTGGTGTGTTCCAGCAGACCTTACGGCATGGCTAACTACTTCCGGGTTCTGATGACATCACTTCCGGAAACACGAGTTCTATCTTGCCATGGCAGACAGTCTGCTGTCACGGTTCCCATCTGCCTGTTCAGTAAGACTGGCACATCCCATCTGCCTTCAGCCTGGATTTGACCAACAATTGGTATGCTGTGTACCGCCATGTGAGACTTTTTTTATGCTTTAATAAATGTTTTTGAATCACGTGGATTCATGGGCTCTGAATTTATCAGCGCACAAGCCTGCCCCGCACAGCTGACTGCACAGAGTGTGTATACAACAATTATCCATTCAGTGTGTTTTATTTTTGTGACAGTGAGCTTTAGCCTGCTGACGGCTGAAAAAGAGTCACTGGAGTGCAGAACGAAGTGTACTCCTGTGACCTACAGGAGAAGTAGGGCAAAAAAAAAAAAAAAAAAGCATTGGCCCAAATTCTTCATTAGGGCATTAGAAGCTGGGCTTCCTGCAACATATGGTAATGGGAGAAAACAGACTCACTCTGACATAGTTCAAAAATCCCTGCAGTCAGTCATAAGGCCTACTCCTGAGACATATTTTTTTTCATTTATTTATTTATTTATTTAGACATGCTGTGTAAACAGTAACACACACATGGGATTTTCTCAAATTTAAATGCAAAACTGGAAATTCATTTAAGGACAGGTTGACTGTTAACATTTGCATGGTGTTTTAAATTTGCTTTTTTACCCTCCTGTATTTACTTTTTAAACATCATTTATGTGTTAGTACAGCAACTGTCTCCCTTTGTGACACATAAGGGATATGGGTAGCATCTCCACAGCCAAGGGAGTTTGGTACATTCAGAAAATATGGTTTGACATCTCAAGTACACTGCAGAGATTAGCGCCACTATGGCAGCCCCTGACTATGCAGAAAAAAGTTGTCCAGGGGCAGACATGAACAAAGTGTCATGCAACATTTCATTCAGGTCTCTGCGCTGGAAGAAGTCCTGTATATTGATAAACTGGGCTGGCAAAACCACCAATTTCATGTGAAGATCACTGTGTCTGAGAGCAGGTAAATAAAAACACATTCCAATTGACACAGAAGAATCCAAGCTTGTGAATATGAGTCCTATTCTAGATCAGACAATGTTAAAGACGCTTAAAATGTGCAATAAAGGGAGGTGGCCACAAAGCTGAATTTAGACATTCTTACACCAAAACAGCCGATACATAAATCTCTACTGAATCTGCAGTCTTAAAACTTGGTTTGCCATATCAATGCCACTAAAATAATCTTGATAGACAGCTAGAGTGTACTCCTGAATTAAATATGGCATGAATCAATTTCATTTCATTCTTTCAACAACTAAGAAAAAACGAAAAAAAGACATTAAAAAAAATAGAATAAAATAAATGAAGACATGTGAATCTCACATCAGTGACTACCCAATTTTCTAATAGTTGTTAGTATTGAACAAACCAAAACAAGGGAAGGATCCTTGCGATTATAACGAGTCTCCTGCGTCTTTGCTAGATTGCTTGATTACAAAAAGACAGCAGATACTGGTAAAAGCTTCAGGACAGAAAGTGCTTGACAAAGTTAAAGTTCTCAGGTGTGTTTGGTGAGATACAACGGCAGATGCACTGATGAAAACAATTATGCGAGAGAAAAAAAAAAAGTCAAATTCATGTTAAAGTGTTCAAAGATGATGCCTTAAGCAGAAATAAAAAGCATTAATTATGTTTTCTTCAACAAAGTAGGCGAATTCCAGAGTCTGCATCATTAGTGTTGTTTTTAGAAGATTTACTCCACAGAATTATTGTTTGTTTCGATTTCTCTCCTGGAAAAAGAAAAAAAAAAAAAACGTAGATTATGCCAAAATCCTCCACAAGACATGATCTAGAGATGTTCATGCACACAAAAATGACTGCTTCGATAAGTACTTCTTTATAACAGGTTTGTATGATCTCTTAACCATTCTCGTATTCTTGAAAGAAAATGTTGAGAAAATTAGGTTCTCTTTTGAAAATATCGTTTTGCTAAAAATTCATTTTATTCTTCTATGGAATCAATAACAAAAAAGATGTAAAAATAAAGCATTTTCTGACCAGTGTTCATATAAGTTTTATTGTAACTCAAAAGTACACATTTGTATTTAGTCTGTCTAATTTGTTTACACAAAAATGTATTTTTCTAGTACCAATGTATGGCAAATTTATATGCAAATAAAAAAATTTACAAGTTTTGAGCATTTTCTTGTTATGCAACACTGAAAAATGTAAGTACACCTTTTAAATTATTTTTTCCCGTTATATAGTTTAAAAAAAAAAAAAAAACTTCAGCGGTTAATAAATACTAAAAGAGAACGTTCTCTCAGTCTCCAGTGTTGCATGACTGAAAAAATGTGATTCAAACCATCACAGCACTGAAATCTAAATTACATTTTTAAAGTACAAGTAAAGCCACGCCATTTTTAATTCTGAGTCATGAAATAATTAATCCCCCCCCCCATCCAGGTTTATTTTTGCCCCATTTGGGGGGGGTGGGGGGAGGGGTCTATCTTGTAGACACAAATAAATATATATTAAATATATGGAATCATAAAAAAAAAAAAATAAAAGAGACCATTATAAAAAGGAACCCCACCATTCATCAAATTATATTAATAGATAAAGAAGAACTACTAATTGAGCGCTCTAAGGCCTCGTGTACACAGACACTTACCAGCTCCACTATTGCATTTGGGGAGAGGTGCCGTACACACAAGCACCAGGGTTTTTACACCTCAACATACAAGAACTGCTATGTATGTGTGCAGGAGGACTTAATATGTTGCACCCACATATCTAAAAATCAGCAAATGTTTACCTTGAGGTGAGTTTTTAAAAAAAAAAAAAAATCACACAAGCTGGAAACTGATATTTCTGTACCTTTTATATATATATATATTTTTTTTTTTAAAACAATGATTTTTCTGAAGCACATTACCTGTAACCTCATTTATGATTTTCCTATGGTAAACTATCAAAAAAGTGTATAATTTTGTAAAGGCACAGAAAAACGGGAGGGCTCTGTGTACACTGGCCACCTTAGGCATTCTCTGTTCACTCTACAAGAAGATATATACTGTACAGTAGGAGACTGGCCTAAATGTTACCTTTTTTTTTCTGAGACTAAGCCATAGAATCCTTTATTTTTCACTTACCGCATTTTTTCACTCCATAAGACGCACTTTTTCCCCCACAAAATGGGGGAAAATGTCTGTGGAGTCAAATATGGAGCATTCCGCCACTGTGTTAGAATGTGGGCTGGCCTGCTCCTTGGTCCTATCTGTTCCTCGGTCCAGCAGAGTCCTCACTGTCTTCTGTCCTTGGGCGCCGGAATCTTTAATGTGGGGCACCCGGCCTGTGACAGCTTGCGGCTTCACAGCCGGGTGCCCAATGTGCATGTGCAAGATGTGCTGCGCTTTGTGAATGGTCCGGCATTTGCTAGGACCTGTCACGTGTCTCAGAAGACGGGGATGGAGGACAACTCCGCGGACGTGGGAGGAGGTACTTGTCAAATTTGGGTACCTGCTCCCCACAGGTCCGCAGTTCTCTCTGTCCTCTCTCCCTGCACTATGTCCGCAGTTCTTCTGGTCCTCTCCTGCACTATGTCCGCAGTCTCTGGTCATCCCTGTACTGTGTCCGCAGTCTTGGTCATCTCCTGTACTATGTCCGCAGTCTCTGGTTCATCTCCTGTACTATATCTGCAGTCTCTGGTCATCTCCTGTACTGTGTCCGCAGTCTCTGGTCCTCTCCTGTACTGTGTCGCAGTCTCTGGTCATCTCCTGTACTGTGTCCGCAGTCTCTGGTCTCCCTGTCTGGTGGCCTGCCAGTCCCGGTATTCCCCGGCTGTGGACTGTGTCCGCAGCCACTGTACTGTGTAGAAAGACATCGGGTGGCCTGCTCCTGTACTGTCCTATCTGTTCCTCGGTCCAGCAGAGTCCTCACTGTCCCGCAGTTCTGTCCTTGTGCGCGGAATCTTTAATGTGGGCACCCGTCCAAGCTGTGACAGCTTGCTTGCTGGCTCACAGCCGGTGTCCCACTGTGCATGTGCAAGAAGTGAGTGCTGCGCTTTGTGAATGGTCCGGCAGTTCTAGGACCTGTCACGTGTCTCAGAAGACGGGGATGGAGGACAACTCCGCGGACGTGGTCCGAGGATTGGTACTTGTCCTGTAATTTGGGTACCTGCTCCCTGTACAGGTCCGCAGTTCTCTGGTCCTCTCCTGCACTATGTCCGCAGTCTCTGGTCCTCTCCTGTACTATGTCCGCAGTCTCTGGTCATCTCCTGTACTATGTCCGCAGCAGTCTCTGGTCAGTCTCCTGTACTATGTCCGCAGTCTCTGGTCCTCTCCTGTACTATGTCCGCAGTCTCTGGTCATCTCCTGTACTATGTCCGCAGTCTCTGGTCATCTCCTGTACTATATCTGCAGTCTCTGGTCATCTCATGTACTGTGTCCGCAGTCTCTGGTCCTCTCCTGTACTGTGTCCGCAGTCTCTGGTCATCTCCTGTACTGTGTCCGCAGTCTCTGGTCATCTCCTGTACTGTGTCCGCAGTCTCTGGTCATCTCCTGTACTGTGTCCGCAGTCTCTGGTCATCTCCTGTACTGTGTCCGCAGTCTCCTGGTCATCTCTGGTCATCTCCTGTCTGTGTCCGCAGTCTCTGGTCATCTCCTGTACTATGTCCGCAGTCTCTGGTCATCTCCTGTACTATGTCCGCAGTCTCTGGTCCTCTCCTGTACTATGTCCGCAGACTCTGGTCATTCCCTGTACTGTGTCCGCAGTCTCTGGTCATCTCCTGTACTGTATCCGCAGTCTCTGGTCATCTCCTGTACTATGTCCGCAGTCTCTGGTCATCTCCTGTCCTATGTCCGCAGTCTCTGGTCCTCTCCTGTACTATGTCCGCAGTCTCTGGTCATCTCCTGGGTTATTTTTTTTTTTTTTACTAAAAAGATAACAGAATAAATTTTGGCCAATATTTATGATGAAATATTATTTATTTTGCAAATTTTTATAAGAAAAACACTTTTCAAAATTTTTGGACTTTTTCATTTACATAGCAAAAAATAAATAAAAAATCCCAGTGGTGAATAAATACCACCAAAATAAAGCTTTATCTGTCTCAAAAAAAAACGCTAAAAAAATTCATATGGGTACAGTGTTGCATGACCACGCAATTGTCATTCAAAGTGTGATAGCACTGAAAGCTGAAAATTGGCCTGGGCAGGAAGGGGGTAAAAGTGTCCAGACTGGAAGTGGTTAATGATGCGACCTGCTGAGAAGAAATAAATGCTGGAAACGGGGTATTTAGGAGCAGTCTTTTCTGTCGGCAAATCGCTTTCAAAAATGCAAAAAATAATTTTTTTCTTCTACTTCTAGAAGCTGATGCTTCAAAAAAATGCTTCTGGACGAAAATAGTTTGCATGGACACATAAGATAACACTATTAGTATCTAGAGGCAGAAAAAAAAAGCTCAAAACAGCTGCTAGGAGCTTATTTTTATGCTAGTGTGCACGGAGCCTTAAGTAAATTCCCCTTCTTGTTGGACTTAGAACTTTGTCATTTCTTTTCTTTTTTTTTTTTTTTTTTTTAATAATACTGGGGAGATTTCTTCTCGCTTCTTATGTTGCCAACAGTTTCACAGGGAAAGGAGTGAGAAGAAATCTCAGACAATGATAAATTATTCCTCACCAAGCTAAAGAAAAAAAATATATATATTTTGAGTCGAGCTCTAAGACTTTCACACTCTATTCTAAAGAAAAAAAATAAAAACGTTTTAGCTAACGATCCACTTTTTAGGGGCTGGGTACTTCGATTTCCTCCCACACTTCAAAGACATGCTGGGAGGTTAACGGTCTGTCTAAATTGCTTCTAGAATGTGCATGTATGAATGTGAGTTAGGGACTTTAGACTGTAAGCTCCTGGACAGTTAGGGACTGATGTGAATGTACAACATATATGTAAAGCACTGCGTAAATTGACAGTGCTGTATAAGTAGCTGTAATAAATAAATCATAATTAATTGTCATATAAAAGACTCGAATGATGGTGCACATGCATTACAAAAAGTATCTTTCTGGACTGATTATACAGCTTTTAGGTGATAACTTTACACTAGGCACAAGTTAAAGCTCAGAATATTGTTCTTTCTATGCATACCTTCAGAAATATAATACTGTAAGCAAAGGGGACACGTGGCAGGTTTGAACTTTTTTTCATTTTCAATTGCAGACCTGCATTGAATTTCATGCAAAAAAAAAGGTTTGCCAGCAGACAGACAATCAGCCCCAAAACATTCCCAGAAAACCATGCACATTTAGACATGAAACCACTGAAAGGAGTGGAGTTCAGAGCCACCTGCTGGTGTATACTGTAAGCATTCTAATACAGAAAGATTGAGAAGCCTTGGCCTAGTCCTTATGGTGGGGAACCTCTTTACCGTGCTACAGGATTGCTTTACTCAGCTCAGAAAAAGCAAGGCCATGCTAAAGCAAAGACTATCAATCACCAACTGGATTTATAGCTATACACGAATTATGTCATTTAAAACATTTACACTTTGTAAAAGCTAAGAATGCCTGTGGCACATTTTTTATCTGTATATACACAATGACAATTCATAGCCAATTGGCTGAAATCAACACAAAGGAAGAGCTCTGTGTGCATAAAAATGTTTTCATTGTGCTTACCTAAGACTGAAGGGCTGAAGAGCCCCTGTAAAGTTCAAGTGTTACTAAACCCACAACAGTAAAATCAGTCAGTATATGCAGTAAAGCATGCTTGTTCTACCCACTGTGGAACCTAAGGGGTTAATCCTCTGCATTGTGTAAAAAAGATGTTTGATTTTGTCTTCTCTGATCCTCCCCTTCTTCCACGTTCCCTGTGACGGGAGTCACTTTGGGTGGGGGGCTCATGGAACCCAGCTCCCCATATCCCTCTTATGTGTAAATCACCCTGTGCCTGTTAGGGGTACAGGGTGATCTGTCCTAATATTTTGTGTGCTTTGTCTTAGACTGTGTAGACATGTTTAGGAGATAGGTGGGGTGGGGGGGTTGTTGATTGTTTAATGTTATGTGGCTGCATCCCATTGTTCTATTGTTTGTCCGGCTTGGGAGCAAACTATTATGGGATGTATGTGTTTATGTGTATTAGCTTAGTGGGGGGGGGGGGGTCTCCAGCAGCCCTCCCCCCTGATGGGACTGTCTGCTGGTGTGAAGTTTGAATACCTGTGTGTCTCCTTACTAAATGTAGATTGCCCCGCCCTGTGTTATTATGCAGGGAGAGGGGATTGTCCTCTGAGTGTATATATCTTGTATCTGTGTTCACATAAACTAGTCTACCTCCTGGTTTACTTCAAGACTGGTGTCGTCTAGTCTTGTATGGTCGGCTGTGGTTGTCGGTGTTCGGACAGGGAAACAGTATTCTAACGGAAGTACTCAAGCGCAGTCTGGGTCGGTTCCGTTACATTCCCCATTTCATTTCTTGATAGGATACAGCCTCAGGGACACTGTGCACATGCTCAGTTTGGTGCATACTGCAAGTTTTTTCTTGGGAGAGTGTCTGAACAGCGCTGACTGGCCCTGTGCTGATCACATGCAGAGGGTCAGGGATTATGCAATCTCTCATCTCAGGGTAGTGAGAGAAGGAAAACTCCTCCTACAAGCTTTAAAGTGTTACTAAACCCAGGACCCTGCATCCACTATATCTGGTCTCCCAATGTACACAGAACATGGAAATGTAATTATTTTAGTAAATATAAACTGCTAAATAGCTTTTCTCATCAGAAGTTAGAGCATTCTTGTGACTTCTGTGACCAGCAGAGCAGGAGGATACAAATCCCCTGACCTGTCTGGACAGTGCTGATTGGCCCTGTGCTGATCACATGCACTCTCCCAAGAAAAAAAAAATATCTCTAGCAATACACACCAAACTGAGCATGTGCATGCCTGCGGTTCAGTCTGAAGATAAGTGGTGGTCGCTTGAAAAAGGGGAGGAACAGAGAAGAAAGGATCAAATAGCCTTTTTACACAATGCAGATATAATTAACCCCTTAGGTACCACAGTGAGTATAACAAGCGTGCGCTACTGCATATATAGACTGATTTTACTGTTGTGGGTTTAGTAACATCTTAACCAGTGCTCTGCTGGATACAGATAGAAGTCACAAAACTGCTCTAACTGCTGATGAGAAAAGGTATTTTTCAGTTTATATTTGCTTGGTTTAGTAACACTTTAAGAGTAAAAAGTAGTAGTTCCCAAACAGTGGCTTGGGAGACCATACGTGCTATTAGGGCTTGTTCACATGTTCGGATGTAGAAGGGGTAAAAATAATCTGTTAAGCTTTAGTTTCACCCCCCAACCCCAAAAAAAAAAGAGAAATATGCCATTGGTGCATAAAAATGATTCCAATGTCACATTTGGGGGGCAGTACCAACATCAAATGCAACCGATTTAAGTGAACAGGTCTGCACCACAAATGTTCTGTGGTGCTGGCTTTGAACCCTCCCAGACACCTGCCAACTGCCCTCTAACATGATCCACAGTAGATTGTTTTTCGGAGGGGAGACAAGGACTGCTTCTAGTGTAAACAAGTCTTCAAACAAATGCACACAATCTGTCTAAACCGCAGTTCCTTCAAGACAGCTAACTATATACATGAGGACTGTTTTCCTGCCAGAAATGTGAGGGGAAAAAAAATACCACAAAATAAGCACAAGGGACACTACTTACCTTCACAGCAACGTGTCTATTGTGCTTCTGTCTTCCAGTTCAGTAGAAATCTTCTGTCTCCCGATACCCTTCCTCACCCCCATCACAATCTTCCAGCGTGGCAGGGTTAGTAGCACTGAGCAGCTGTCCACAAGCGCTCATCAAGAATGGCCAGCTATGTCAACCCTTTCCACCCAGCTCCATCATTCATAGAAGCTGTTACTACAGCTTCTGTGAATGAGAGAGAATCTATGAATGGAGGATGGGTAGATGACTAAAAGATTTGCTTCTTCCATTCAAAGATCCAATTTCATTTATGAAAGCTGGCTTATATGAATGAAGGAGAGTCTTCTCATCTCACACACAGAACAATGCAGAGTTGGTCATGAGCAGTGCTCAGCCATTCATAGGCAGCTTTCTATTCTTTAAATAAACGCATAGCTTCTGTTGATTGACTGAGGCAGATTGTGTGAGGCCATCAGCCAATCAGAGGAAGCTTTGTATTCATTCACAGAACACAAAGCTGCCTATGAATGGCTGAGCACTTCTCAGACTCTGCATTGTTCTTGATTCTGTATGTGAGACAGTCTTCTCGTCTCACAAGCAGAACTGTGTACTGTTTGTAGCTGAAGCTACATGCTGTGCATACACTGCTTAGAGACACTACTGAACTTAGTGAAGTAAATAGTTCGTTTGGATCAGCTGGGTCCAAACGAACTATTTAAAGTGAAAGGAAACATGGAAATCATCATTAAGAAAAAAAATAATGTAATCTAGAAATTTATGGCAGCAACACGTCTCAAAAAAGTTGGGACAGTGCCATAGTTACCAAGGTGCAGCATCCCCTCTTCTTTTAAACACCACTGTGTAAATGTCTGGGAACTAAGGAGACCAGTTACTGGAGCATCGAGAGAGGAATGTTGTCCCATTCTAACCGTCCTGGATCTTCTTGATATGTTTCATTACAAGATGCGCCAAATATTTTCATTTGATGAAAGGTCTGGACTGCAGGCAGGCCAGTTAAGTACCCAGACTCTTCTACTACCATGCTGTTGTCATAGATGTAGTATGTGGTTTAGCATTATGCAAGGCCTTCCCTGAAAAAGATGTTGTCTGAATGGGAGCATATGCAAAACCTGGATATATCTTTCAGCATTGATGGTACCTTTCCAGACATGCATGCTGCCCTTGCACTCCCATATAATCACAGATGCGAACTGAGGGCTGACAACAAGCAGGAAGGTCTCTTTCCTCTTTAGTTCAGAGTATGCAGCACCCACGTCTGCCAAAAAAAAAATTCACATTTCGATTTGTCTGACCACAGAATGGTTTTTATCTTTTTTTTTCCCTTAAAATGGTACATTCCCAGTTTAAACAAACCTCTCTCAACCTTTTCAAAGCAGACGAACCCTTGAAATAACTTTCTGGTCTCAAGAAACCCTGTTAAAAAATACTAGATCTACAACTTGATACATCAGAGTGATGGTCAGTGGGAAGAATTACCCCCTTACAGATCGCTAAAAAGATCAGTGGTGTCAGTGGGAACTTATCTGAGAGGCTGAATTTGCTCAAGGAACCCCTAGCAACCTGTAGAGCAGCGGTTCTCAACCTGGGGGTCGCGACCCCTTTGGGGGTCGAACGACCATTTCACAGGGGTCGCCTAAGACCATCGGAAAACACATATTTCCGATGGTCTTAGGAACCGAGACACAGCTCCGGTCTCAGGCGATCTGTGGGCGGGATGATATGCTGCCCCTGTAACCTGGCCACACCTCCGGGATCACTCAACAGCTCCGCCTCCTCGCCGCTGATTGGCCACCGGAACTGTAGCTCAGGAGAGGCACACAGGCGGCCAATCACCGGCGAGAAGGTGGAGCTTGGAGAGGAGGAGCCGAGCGGCAGCGCACGGAGATCGAAGAAGATCGAGGGAGCTGCAGGAACGAGTGAAGAGAGAGGCCAGAGAAGGAAGACAGCTGACAGGTAAGTGCAAATTTTGCTGCTGCAGCCAGGTATGCAGGCTGTAGATGGGAGAGGGAGAGAGCGAGCCCAGGCTGGAGCAGGAGTCAGCAAGGTAAGTATCATTGGTGTCAGTGGAAGGGATAGTGCCCCATCATTTGTGTCACTAATACCAACGATGGGGCACTATTCTTCCCCCCACTGACACCAACGATGGGGCACTATTCCTCCCACCACTGACACCAATGATGGGGCACTATTCCTCCCACCACTTCAATGATGGGGCACTATTCCCCCACTGATACCAAATGGGGCACTATTCCTCCCACTGATACACTAACTGACACCATGGGGGGCACTATTCCTCCCACTGACACCAATGATGAGGCACTATGATGGGGGGCACTATTCCTCCCACTGACACCAATGATGGGCACTATTCCTCCCCACTGACATTCCCACGATGGGGCACTATTCCTCCCACTGACACCCACAATGGGGCACTATTCCTCCCACTGACACCCACGATGGGGCACTATTCCTCCCACTGACACCCACGATGGGGCTATTCCTCCCACTGACACCCACGATGGGGCACTATTCCTCCCACTGACGCCAATGATTGGGCACTATTCCTCCCACTGACGCCAATGATTGGGCACTATTCCTCTCACTGACGCCAATGATTGGGCACTATTCCTCCCACTGATGCCAATGATTGTACACTATTCCTCCCACTGACGCCAATGATGGGGCACTATGACTGACGCCAATGATTGCACTATTCCTCCCACTGACGCCAATGATGGGGCACTATTCCCCCCACTGTACACTATTCCTCCCACTGACACCAATGATGGGGCACTGATGAGGCACTATTCCCCCCACTGACACCAATGATGGGGCACTATTCCTCCCACTGACACCAATGACACCTCCCATGACACCAATGGGGCACTATTCCTCCCACTGACACCAATGATGGGGCACTATTCCTCCCACTGACACCAATGATGGGGCACTATTCCTTCCACTGACACCAATGATGGGGCACTATTCCTCCCACCCAATGATACTATTCCTCCCACCGATACCAATGATGGGGCACTATTCCTCCCACCGATACCAATGATGGGGCACTATTCCTCCCACTGACATCAGATACATCCCACGACATCAGGATGGGCACTATTCATCCCACTGACATCAGTGATGGGGCACTAGTCATCCCACCATCACTAGCAAAAAAATTACAGTTATGAAGCAGCAACGAAAATAATTTTATGGTTGGGGGTCACCACAACATGAGGAACTGTATTAAGGGGTCGCGGCATTAGAAAGGTTGAGAACCACTGCTGTAGAGGAACTCTTGGGTTCCATAGAACCCTGGTTTATACATCTGATAGGTTTTCTACATTTTACACAGCATTCCAACATTTCTGCTTGGGGGAATTGGGGTTGTATTATCTTCCCTGCATGGAGGGCATCTTAGGAGGAAGATTTCTACTGAACAAAAGACAGAAGCGCAAAGGAAATCACACTGAAGGTAAAGTAGCTTCCCTTGTGTTTATTTTGTATTTTTTTTTCTGTAGGTAAAAATAGGCTTTAACCAACCTTCTAAATTACACAACTATGTCACGCTGCAGAACCAGGTGGGTGACACTTGTTCTCTGTTACAGCAGCAGTTTTTGTAGCATTATTTATCTGCCCCTTAGTATCAGTTGAATCATTATCCTGTGAGCAAGCAAATAAGAACATGTACAGCTGAAACAATAAATAACATTGTCACTTGCTTATCTAAGTAGTGTGTCACAGACATGTGAACCACAAGACTGCTGAACAGAATTACAAATCCTTTAGCAAGTAACAGTTTATATGTTTTTCAACCGTGTATTTAGCCATTAGACCGGTGGCTATATACTGCTGCTATGTTATGTACTATATACAAAACAAAAGACAAGCAAAGGTTAGGTAATAAACTGTTCATAGGGTGTTGGACATGTCTCCATGGTTGCAAAGTTTGTGATTCAGAAGGCAAAGAACCAACACTGACTGGTGCTTTTAGGCTAAATTCAGGTCAATGCATGAACAGACGCAAAAAAAAATAAAATGATGCATTTTAACGCAATGCAATGCAGGTAAAATAGAACTGTAGTGTGAACAGGAGACATAAAAAGCAATTGTTTTTTTTGTGTGTGTCTATGCTTTGACCTGCATTTTACAAGTGTGCTAAAACACAGATTAACGCACATTAAAGAGGAGCTCCAGTCTCCACACTAAAAAATTAAAAGTCAGCAGCTACAAAATACTGTAGCTGCTGACTTATGATATAAGAACACTTACCTCTCCAGGGATCCAGCACTGTCCTCACCCAAGCGGATTCTTCAGGTTTCTGGTTCAGGATTCTGGTGCAGGCACCAGCAACTTAACTAAAGGTAAACAGGCAGTGAAGCCTTGTGGCTTCATAACCAGTTTCCCATTGCACATGCGCAAGCCACGCTGAGCTTTGTGGATGGTCATGCAGGCTTCTGAGACCTTTGATATGTCTTAGAAGGCTGAAGGGGAAGGAGGGGGGCTGAACTTCTGCCTTGATCGCAAAGGCAATCTGAATGGAAGTGGGAGTGGGTACCCGTCAAAACAAGGTACCTGCTCTCCCCCCCAAAAAGTGCCACATGTTAAAAAGGAGGGGGGAGATGCAGACAAGCAAAACTTCCCTTTTGGTTGAAGTTACACCTTAGGACGTGCATAAAATTGATGCAAATGTATATATCCATTTTCCCTGAATTTCAGCCTTAATCATTTTTCTTGCTTTAATAGTTGTAGTAGTAGATTTGTTTAGAAATGTCCCCTAGCAAAGTAATCAACTGCATTTGAGAACGTGGCAATTAAAGTGCACACATCTGAACTTCAATTTCTACTTCTGATGGCAAAGAGATGTGTTAAAACTTTAAAACTTAGGCTGGCCATACATTATACAATTTTCTTGAGATTTTTGCTTTAGATTTACCAAAAACCATATAATAGGTCAAACCCAAACAACACTTTCAGTTGTATCCAATTAGGCAGGCCCTTGCCCTACATAGTTGAAGGTAAATCTAAAGGAAATTGGGCAGAAATTGGAAAGAAAATTGTATAGTATATGGCCAGCCTTAATTTTACAAATAGGAATCTAGGATGCTTATGCAATCAGAACTCTTCACTTTTATCTACGAATACCTTGGAAAACTATGTAGAATTTTTATTTAGACAATAAAAACATTTATGTAAAGATCAGTGACTTTCAATGATAAAATATGGGACATCTGCTAATGGCATTTATGATGAGAAAGGCCTGTCAAATAGCTCAATATGTGGTCTCAAAATATAATATATCTGGGAGCACATAGCCATATGACGTAGTCAAAAAGCCCAAACGGATATTCACTTACCCTACGCATGGCTTCCTCCTCTTCTTGACGCTTCTCATAATGTGCAAAGTCATCAAAGATAGAGGTTGTATGCTTGAAAGTTGCAATAATTTTAAGAACTCTGCTTGGCTTTTTCTAGGGGTACCTCTTGAGTGTCCCTTGAGTTGGTAACAGGCTTATTATCGTTGTTTTCCAAACGAATGTGTCGCAGTTGGTTATTGGGAACGTCTTTCACAAAGACCCATTTGACTTCAAACTTTCCCTTCCATTTGTCTTGGGACCAAACTCCAGCATACGCATTGTAGTCCACTACAGACTTCATTTCTGCAACTCCACAAAAATGTCCACTTCCATTTACACTGAAGAGTAAATAAAGTGGGCCTTTCCCATTCAAAGATCGATAAGCAGCATCCAAACGCTTATTGCCATGTTCAGTACTGCACCAAATTGAGTACTTGATAGAACGGTGAATGTCATCCTCAGAGTAGCTTTTGATTATAAACACTCGACCGTTTTTCAGACTCCAATCAAAGTCTTTGGGATTATAGTTGTTTATGGCCTTCAGTTTCTCCAGTACAGGGTGAACCTCAACACCAGAAGGTGAGGAGCTAATAGGCACAACACCTAAGCTAAAGTTCTCATTCCCAGAGCAATTGTTCTGATTGAAGCCCACTCCCCTGTTCCTAGGTGCCACCCAGCGGTTTTGAAGCTGCTGCTGCACCTGATGTGTTGGGGCCTGCTGCTGAGGTCCTTGTTGCTGCTGTGGTTGTTGCTGTAGCTGCTGTTGAGGCAGTTGGTTTTGCACCATTGGTAAAGGTTGAGTTAATGGCTGAGGCTGTTGAATTACAGGCTGAGGAGGCAGAATTGGTTGAGCGAGTGGGGCCTTTACAACAGCCCCCTTATCATCCCAAGTTCCAATATTAATGTTGTGTTTTATAGGTGGGGGAGGAACTGCAGTACTACCAACACCCACATTGCCCTTGGGTTTTAGTTTAGGCTGAGGTTTTGCTGGTTTTCGAGCAATGGCAGCCCATGAGGTTGGCTTAGGTGCTGAACTGCTAACTTGGGGCACACTGTTTGCAGCTATACTAGTCATTCCTGCACTAGTCAAAGCTGACCCAACAGTTTTTGTTACAGCAGCTGTCATATCACCACCAATTTTCAGTCCGGTCATTCCTTGCTCAATGCTGTTAATGCCCGGCACTTTACTCAGAGTATCACTGCCAAAACCAGCTTGTCCATCAGCGATGGCTCTACCAAGGGAACTAGGAGGATATCCATAGCTGCTGCTATATGCAGAACTTTGTGTTGATTGTCCCTGAGATCCACTTGTCCCCCATGTGGAGAAATCTGCATTCCCAGGAAAAAAATTAAACCCATGCTGGCTTAGGAAAGGAGGAGTGTTCCCCAAAGCTCCAGGCTGACTAAACACTCCATCCGGTATGTAGTGGTGTTCTCCATTGCTCATCTGTCCATACAAGTACGGCATTGGTGGGTCTCCAGCAGTTGACCATGCTGCCTCTCCAAGGGAATAAGGAAATCCAATGGATGGAGCATAATAACTAGGCATGTAAGGGTCTGACATTGGTGGATAGCTATTACTCTGCAAAAGAAAAGAAAGGTAGGTTTCAGTTCATTGGACAATACTAGGGCATGTGAGCAAAACAGCAAACAAGCATCAAAACCTTTTAAAAATTACTTGAAAGGGTTGAGACAGTTTTCATCACATAAAAACATTTTTAAAAAAATAAAGTTTTAAAACAAATCATGCCTTGTTTAGCAGGATGTCCTTAATAAGCATGGAGTGATGTGATCGCCATTAGAGAGAATTAAGAAGGGCCTAGAAACTAAACACTGATTGCCAATCGAATCCTAATCATACCAGTTTCAGTTTTTGATTCTGAAACAAAAAGTACCATATTCTTTAAAGTGTTACTAAACCCACAACAGTAAAATCAGTCTGTATATGCAGTAAAGCATGCTTGTTATATTCACTGTGGAACCTAAGGGGTTAATCCGCTACATTGTGTAAAAAGGCTGTTTGATCCCTTCTTCTCTGTTCCTCCCTTTTTTCAAGCGACCACCACTTATCTCCAGACTGAACTGTAGGCATGCACATGCTCAGTTTGTGTATATTGCTAGAAAGGTTTTTTGTTTTGGGAGAGTGCATGTGATCAGCACAGGGCCAATCAACACTGTCCAGACAGAGGTCAGGGGTTTTCCATCCTCCTAGAGCAGAAAGAAAACTCCTCCTACAAGCTTTAGCTAGTGCTGGTCACAGATAGAAGTCACAAGACTGCTCTAACTGCTGAGAAAAGTTATTTAGCAGTTTATATTTACTAAAATAATTGCATTTCCATGTTCTGTGTACTGTGGGAGACCAGATATAGTGAATGCAGGGTCCTAGGTTTAGTAACACTTTAAGCCTCTAGAAGACCATGCATTTGTATCTTCCCAACTTGAGCAAAAGCTTGGGCATTGGAAGGGCCAAGTTTGATTTGTATACAAAGAGCTGCCGTTATCTCCAAACCTACTCAGAAAAAATGGTTTTCACCAAATGTAACCTATGCATTTTTTTAATCACATGTTCAGTCTAAATTTTCCAAGTCTGTAACAGGTTTAGAGAGAGAGGGGGGAAAGGGAAGGGAAGGAGAAGGGAAGGGAAGGGAAGGAAGGAGAGAGAGAGAGGAGGGGGAGAGAGAGAGAGGGAGGGGAGGGAGAGAGGGAGGGAGGGAGGGAGGAGAGGGAGGGAGGGAGGGAGGGAGGGAGGGAAGGAAGGAAGGAGAGAGAGAGGGGGGGGAGGAAGGAGAGAGAGGGGGGGAGGAAGGAGAGAGAGGGAGGGGGGGGGGGAGGAGAGGGGGGGGAAGGAGAGGGAGGGGGGAGAGAGAGGGGAGGGAGGAGAGAGGGGGGAGATAGGGAGGGAGGGAGGGAGGAGGAGAGAGAGAGAGAGAGAGAGAGAGAGAGAGAGGGAGGAGGAGAGAGAGGGAGGGAGGGAGGAGAGAGAGGGAGGGAGGAGAGAGAGGGAGGGAGGGAGGAGAGAGAGAGGGAGGGGGAGAGAGGGGGGGGAGGGAGGAGAGAGGGGGGGGAGGGAGGAGAGGGGGGGGGAAGGAAGGAAGGAAGGAGAGGGAGGAAGGAAGGAAGGAGAGGGAGGAAGGAAGGAAGGAGAGAGAGGAGGAAGGAAGGAAGGAAGGAGAGAGAGGAAGGAAGGAAGGAGAGAGAGGAAGGAAGGAAGGAGAGGGAGGAAGGAAGGAGAGAGAGGAAGGAAGGAAGGAAGGAAGGAGAGAGAGGGAAGGAAGGAGAGAGAGGGAGGAAGGAAGGAAGGAAGGAAGGAGAGGAAGGAAGGAAGGAAGGAGAGAGAGAGAGGGAGGAAGGAAGGAGAGAGAGGGAGGAAGGAAGGAGAGAGAGGGAGGAAGGAAGGAAGGAAGAGAGAGAGGAGGAAGGAAGGAGAGAGAGGGAGGAAGGAAGGAGAGAGAGGGAGGAAGGAAGGACAGAGAGTAAGGAAGGAAGGAGAGGAGAGGAAGGAAGGAAGAGGGAGGAGGAAGGAAGTAGAGGGAGAGGAGAAGGGAGAGGAGGAGAGGGAGGGAGGGAGGGAGGAAGGAAGGAGAGGGAGGAAGGAAGGAAGGAGAGGGAGGGAGGGAGGAAGGAAGGAAGGAGAGGGAGGAAGGAAGGAGAGAGAGGGAGGAAGGAAGGAGAGAGAGGGAGGAAGGAAGTAGAGAGAGGAAGGAAGGATGGAGAGAGAGGGAGAAAGGAAGGAGAGGAGAGGGAGGAAGGAAGGAGAGGAGAGGGAGGGAGGAAGGAAGGAGAGGGAGGGAGGAAGGAAGGAGAGGGAGGGAGGAAGGAAGGAGAGGGAGGGAGGAAGGAAGGAGAGAGAGGAGGAGGAAGGGAAGGAAGGAGAGGAGGGAGGAAGGAAGGAAGGAGAGAGAGGGAGGAAGGAAGGAGAGAGAGGAAGAGAAGGAAGGAGAGAGGGAGGAAGGAAGGAGAGAGAGGGAGGAAGGAAGGAGAGAGAGGGAGGAAGGAAGGAGAGAGAGGGAGGAAGGAAGGAGAGAGAGAGAGGAAGGAAGAAGGAGGGAGGAAGGAAGGAAGGAAGGAAGGAGAGAGAGAGGAGGAAGGAGAGGAGAGAGAGGAAGGAAGGAGGAGAGAGAGAAGGAAGGAAGGAGAGAGAGAGGAGGAAGGAGGAAGGAGAGAGAGAGAGGAAGGAAGGAGAGAGAGGGAGGAAGGAAGGGAGAGAGGAGAGGAAGGAAGGAGAGAGAGAGGAAGGAAGGATGAGAGAGGAAGGAAGGAGAGAGAGGAAGGAAGGAGAGAGAGGAAGGAAGGAGAGAGAGAGGGAGGAAGGAAGGAGAGAGAGAGAGGGAGGAAGGAAAGGAGAGAGAGGGAGTGAGAGATGGGAAAGAGATCTACTCTCTTACTTACAGACAGACACATTTGTTATTTAAAGCAGAACTGAGGTTCTCCTGTAACAAAGGGCAAGCAGGCAGGCTTTTATTGCAGGTACTGGGATTTTCTGTAAGAAAATCCCAGTACCTAGCTGCTCGCTGTCTTCTCTGGCGCTGTGAACATAGCTGTGAATGTGCAGTCTGAGTGCCAGAATGACGGCTTTCTGCATATGAGCAGGAGAGACGTCATTCCACCATGACCAATGAAGATGGCCGAAGACCAATGAAGATGGCCGAAAACCAACACAGAGAAGATGCTTATGAGGGACTGTTGGAAAGGCAAGTTAAGTTCCGCTTTAACATTTACTTTCAGCGACAGTCACTTTATCTTTCCTCAACTACTAAATGAATCACTAACTTGGAGCAAGAGTGCGCATCTCAAGCATCCAGAGACCATATCAGTTACAAAGCAGTACAGACAGGACAAAAAGAAAAAGCCAGCTTTCACATGGTCATGCTAACAGATTCTAGATATTCTATATTTGCTAAAAAAAAGTCCTGCACATCAGTGAAGTTCCCCCCACTCCTGGCTGGGATTGAAATGGCTTCCAGCTGTTAAGGAAGATCCTATATGTATGACATCCCTACACAGTCTCAGGCTCCAGCACTGTGTGATTAAGGACAGGGCCTTATTTAAACATAAGCGGGATCACATTTGACCAATTATGTTCTGCAGTGTTTTGGAGCCTCGCAGAACCCTTTATCAGGCTAGAGTAAGATGTGTGGGAAGAAATATCTCAATTATATAATAGAACAGTAAGTTAGGTGTGCAACATACAGTTGTGTCCAAAATTATTCAACCCCCACTGAAATTGAGTGTTTTGGCCAGTTTGACATTGCTTTTGATCATTCAGTCATCTTGCTTACATTTACATTAAAGAGGCACTTGTAGGTCAGACAAATATAACATAACAGTTATAATGAAATAACCACAAATGTCTTTTCTGTGCTCACAGCATTATCAGTTTTATTCAACCCCCAAGTGACATTCAATCTTAGTACTTAGTACAGCATCCTTTTACAGTTATAACAGCTTTTAAACGTGAAGCATAGCTTGACACAAGTGTCTTTGCAGCGATCTACGGGTATCTTCGCCCATTCTTCATGGGCAAAGGCCTCCAGTTCAGTCACATTCTTAGGCTTGCGCACTGCAACTGCTTTCTTTAAGTCCCACCAGAGGTTCTCAATCGGATTTAAGTCTGGTGACTGCGATGGCCACTCCAAAATGTTCCAGCCTTTCCTCTGCAACCATGCTCTAGTGGACTTGGAGGTATGCTTGGGATCATTGTCCTGTTGAAAGGTCCAACGTCTCCCAAGCCTCAGGTGTGTGACGGACTGCATCACGTTTCCATCCAATATCTCCTGGTACTGAAGAGAATTCATGGTACCTTGCACACGCTGAAGCTTCCCTGTACCTGCAGAAGCAAAACAGCCCCAAAGCATGATTGACCCTCCACCATGCTTCACAGTAGGCAAGGTGTTCTTTTCATCATAGGCCTTGTTCTTCCTCCTCCAAACATAGCGTTGATCCATGGGCCCAAACAGTTCTAATTTTGTTTCATCAGTCCACAGAACACTATCCCACAACTTTTGTGGTTTGTCCACATGGCTTTTGGCATACTGCAGTCGACTCTTCTTATTCTTTGGAGACAGCAAGGGGGTACGCCTGGGAGTTCTGGCACGGAGGCCTTCATTACGCAGTGTGCGTCTTATTGTCTGGGCTGAAACTTCTGTACCCACATCTGACAAATCTTTTCTCAGTTCCTCAGCAGTCACACGGGGACTTCTCTCCACTCTACGCTTCAGGTAGCGCACAGCAGTCGAAGTCAGCATCTTCTTTCTGCCACGACCAGGTAGCGTTTCAACAGTGCCCTTTGCCTTGAATTTGCAAATGATGCTTCCTAAGGTGTCTCTTGGTATGTTTAACATCTTTGCAATCTTCTTATAGCCATTGCCCTTCCTGTGAAGAGAAATCACCTCTTCTCTTGTCTTCCTGGACCATTCTCTTGCCTTCACCATGTTTGTAACCACACCAGTAAATGTCTAGAAGGAGCTGAGTATCACAGTCATTTTAAAGCTGCCTAATTGGTGCTTATTATGCTTGATTGCTGCTCGGTGACATCCACAGGTGTTTTCAATACCTGATGGAAAGCACCTGTATGAACCTCTGTTCTTCAGAGTGGTAGTCTTTAAGGGGTTGAATAATTGTGGCAATGAAGAAACCACATAAGAACCATTTACTACTGTATTACATAAACAATTGATGTCATTTTAGTTGCATTTGGGTAGTTACAACGTCCTTGTAGGATTTGATTCTGAATACAATTCCAAATGTACACTATAGTCCCTAAACCCCTTTACAGCATTGGGGGTTGAATAATTTTGGACACAACTGTATACTGTACATAGCTCTTATGGTTTTTCCAGCATGTCCCTTCAACAGAAGCCAGTCGTTAGAGCAGGTTTGGTTTTACACACTGCTGTACACCTGTACCATACAGTACACGTGCCAAAAGTTGAACGGTTCCTGACTATTTTCAGCCAGTGCGTATTGAGCTTTATACTCCCTTCCCTAATTCATCCAGAGTCGGGGCACTCTAATACAGGAGGTGTATTACTGGTCACATCATTAGGTGTTAAGGAGGAAAAAAAGAGTCAAACAGAGAAAACTAATGCAGCCACCACATGTAATGATTGGCAAGCTGCAATATATTCCATTTTTGGTTTTAGGTTTAATACGGTTTTAAAGAGTCGTGTCAGGAAAGGTAAGCAATTATTTCGGAAGTTATTCAAATATTTACAATTCTCACCTTCATAACAGGACAGCCAAGTGCTATGTAAACGCTAAGCCCTTTTGGAAAACAAACAGTCCAGTCCAGACTGCCAAAGGTAGTCCCAGAAATAAAGATGTACTACCCTAATAACTGGTTTGTCTCAGTACCTTTGATTTGAGGAATGGATTAAGACTTGATAAAAGCCCTGATTGCTCACCCTTAGACATTAATAAGCTGCAGGTGTAAGTCACTAACAGCAACAAATCTAAGGCGTTCAACTTCACAAGATGCAATTTTAACCAACCTGATTCGTCTGGCTAGTTAGATATGGCTCAAAGTCATCATCGTTTACTGCATCTTTCTGATGCATTGAACCGTTCTGCACTGCAACTGAAAAACAAAAAAAAAGTTAGAATCATAAAGTAGCACAGAGTGTTCATTTATACACATCTATAATTCAATAGGAGTACAGCATCACATTAACAAACATATTACCTCTTAGGAAAAACCTTTTAGCAGGATCATGAAACCTGACAGTTTTTACCATATCTGAATTTGGGAATGTGCTAATGGACACCTTAGGAGACATACAAGCCAATTTAAACCAGCCACCATGCATGTTTGCAGTAAACATCTCTTTACACATTTTTTGGTCAGCCTATGAATTTTAACAAGTTTAGCCTGTAAATGTAAACTTAGCAAAACCTATAACCTTCACTGTACCTACATGAACTGCCTAATGGGAGAAAAAATAGTTATAGCGTTATGCCACATTTAAAAGAGAACCAAAGGATTGAAAAAGAAAAAATATTATACTCACCTAGGTGGATGCTGAATCTGTTCCCTGCTGCTTCTAAGACCGAAAGCCAAGTGATCAAAGATCGTTGATCGCTCAGATTAAGTCTTTAGAGAGCAGAGATTGTCAGTCACCAGGTCTCTGCTCTGCCCCTCCAGCACTCACTGGGGCACTGGGCTGTGGAGATGGCAGCAGCAGCTGGCTCAGGCTCTCAACGGCTTGGTTAAAAAATGGTCACATGAGTGCAGAACAAACTGCACTCCTGTAATCCATAGAAGTATAGCCAAAATAGCTTTGGCTATACTTCTCCGTGCCAATAGCACAGGCATTTATTAATCACCGTTCTATTATTTAAATTACACCTTAGAGTCTAAAATGTAACTTCCACCTCTAACGACACTGACAGGACAAGATGTTTTAGGTTGCTAGAGATTAAATCAGTGTCAAGAAAACATGCTTGCATATTGCCTTTAAAATAGATTCCATTTACACCTTTATAGGTAGACCCCTTGTCTACCAAGGTGCGTTTATAAATATCCTGGTATAAAAAGGAAAGCAAGCCTAAAGAAGAAATAAAAAACTAATCCATCCACCACATGTAAGAATTTGCAAGCTGCAATATGTTTGCTTTTGGATTTAATACCACGTTAAATTGTGTGTGTGCGCCAGCTAAAGTTTTTTCCCTGAAAATAAAGACTTGGCAAAGAGTTGCAGAAATACGGGGCAACATAAAATATTGTATCTATTTATTCTGCAGCGTCTCTGAGTTCAGAAAATATATATTGTTCTGTGGATCTTAAATAGTTTTATAGACAAATTCACATTATTTAGCGTGTGAAAAACTGAAAAATTGCTCCAGAGGGTAATTGGTTAGAGCTGAAATCACAAAACTATTGCATTGGTCATTACTTAAACTGTTCAGTTCTGTTTCTATTAGGTGTCTATTGAGTAGAGCAGCAAACAGATTAAAAACACATCATGAAATAAATACTGGGTGATAATAAAAAGCTTAATGTTGATTTCACACAAAAAGGAACAAAACTCCCACTACCCAAACCTAAACCCTTCTGGCTAAGTTGAGTTTTAGCCTGGGTTCACACTGATGTGGTGCAGAATTCTCAGCGGTTTCTGTGCGAATTCCACAACCTCATCATAATCACACCCCGTTAATGCTAACCGCTGCATGTGTGTATGTTAACACCACCCTGAAATCTGTTTTCAAAACGCGGTGCGATGTGTAGAATCGGATCGTATGGGAGTGAATACCCATGCGATCCAATTCTAATGCGGGAAAAAAAAAAAAGGGTCCTGCACCTATTTGGTGCGGATGCGGTGCGATATAAGCCATACAAAATGTATGACTCAAATTGCACCACACAGAATTCGCATGCAATTTACACAGGAATGTGGTGCAGTTCCTGTGCAAATCACGTGATACCACACTGCACAAGTGTGAATTGATTAGGCAATTGTTTGTTTTTTTTTATATTATTTAATAAAGCCGAACTCCTCCTTTTGTCTAGGGGGATTGGAAAACCGAGATATACCTACCTAATCCTCCCTGCCCAAGACTGGCCCCTGTGGCTCCTGCTTCTCCGCAGTCTAGCAGTCTTATGTCCAGCTCTGGATGCGAGGACAGTAGAACAGTCCACTCTTGGATTGTGGGGGGAACGCTATTTTCCGGTGGGGTGGTTGATCGGGGGAGTATACAGCATTCTCTCCCCAGGACAAAACAAGCAGGTAAACCATGTGGTGCAGAAGTGTTTGGTCAGTTTGGTTGAATACCTGTGTCTCCTGCTGCATGCAGTGGTTCCTTCCTCCGGCAGCATGTCCTGTAGTGACTTAACAGTTGACAAGAGAAAAGGCAGCAGGCAGTGGGACAGCAGGTATTCCACACACTTGAAAAGCCACTGCTTTCTGCACCCTGCCCACCCAAAAAGTAGATGCATTTCCTTTTTTTTTAATCAGGTACACTTTTGAATACACAGGGTCCCTTACAAATGTTAACATTTCTAGTTACAAAGTGCATTCACAGCTTTTAATGAGTCAGAAAACATAGCATGGCATTTTGCAAATGAAGAACCACTGTGTAGCATTACTAAACAGGAAGCAGAGCCTGTCTACCTGCAGCAAATATGGCTGCCTTCATGTGTAAATACAATTGTAAACTTTGCAGATGTTTTCAAAGAGACATGTTTCTTTACATATCCATATCTAACACTGAAGAATATACATTCCGTTTAGCCTGGGTTCACATACGCGAAGCTTGGTATATCGCATGTGATTCCCACAGGAACCACACCGCGTTGCTGTGTAAATCACATGTGATTTGTGTGCGATTGGAGCCATACATTTTGTATGGCTCTATTCGCACCGCACCATAAAAGTGCAGGACCCTTTTTTTGGGTCTGCACTAAAATCGGATCGCATAGATCCGACTCTTCACATCGCACCATGTTTTGTGGACCGCTTTTGGGATGTTGTTAACATACACCCCCACAGAGGTTTGCATGAACGGGGTGCAATTCTGATGCAGTGTGAAATTCGCACTAAAAACGCTGCCAATTCCGCCCCACATCAGTGTGAACCAGGGCTAAAGCAAAACTGGGGAAGGGGGGGAAGCTACTTGTAACTACTTTACATAAGTGTTCTTAGAAACATGTTGGTCGCTCGAAGCAGTTTTGGCATACAGAACCATGGCTTACACCACCAACATTTTTACTGAGTAAATATTGTTTACTATTGCAACACCAGAGGAGAACTTGAATCAGCTAGACCAGGGGTAGGCAACCTGCGGCTCTCCAGCTGTTGCAGAACTACAAGTTCCATCATGCCTCTGCAAGTCATAGCTGTAACTGTCAATTTTGCAATGCCTCATGGGAAATGTAGTTCCGCAACAGCTAGAGAGCCGCAGGTTGCCTACCCCTGAGCTAGACAATGTGAAAAAAGCTTGCAGCTGGGAACACTCCTGGACAAAGAAAACAATTTCCCCATCGCTGCAATGCAAGAACACAAAGTATCTGGGAGATGCTGAACAATTTAATGTAGAAATGTCCATTAGAAAGTCTAAGATAATCAGTATTTCTCTCGTCAGGAAAGCAACATAAAAAAGGTGATAAGCAGGATAATCACCCATTCCTGCTATGCAGTACAAGAAACCAATACAAACAGTATTAATCACTTGCCGAACACCAACAGCACATCTACAGCTGGTGGGTGGCTCACTCAGCTTACCCTGGGGTGGGCTTTGCAAGGACACAGCGGATTGTGATGCTCAGTATGGGCCCGTTGTGAGTGGCCCAGATAATACATGATTTCTGTGCAATCACATGTCACATAGTAAATAATAGTCATGAATGGAATCTATTCATGACATCATTGTTTACTACTGTGTGTGATCTGTGATTGGTCACTAGTGATCGCACGGTATCTAGGCCAATCACAGCATCCTGTACCATGTGATAGGTATGGGCCGATTACAGTAGTAAACAATGAGTGAAGAATGAAAAGCCATTAATGACAGTTCAAACGATTGCTGTTACAGCAGCAGTGTTAAAAAAATATATATTTTTGATGACCGTATGAAGAAGAAAAAAATTGTATTTTACACACATGCGGTTCAAGTCAAACCAGGAATTTTAAAAAGGTATAAAAAAAGAGATGCAACCACGGCTGAACCACATGCAGTAGTAAGTGGCAAGTGTGTCCTATTGCATTATGTCAGAGCAGATGTCGTGGGCCAGTCAAGATGGCAGAGAACAGTGTTTGTACATGGAACAGCATGAGGTGATGAGGTTTCTTGTGAACGAAGGCGTAAAACCCGCGGATATCTACAGAAGACTCCAAGCTCAGTACAGTGATGAGACGCTCAGCCACAGTAAGACATTTCAATAGTGTAAACGTTTCAAGGATGGCGGTATGCCCATCAGTGACAATCCAGACCGTGGTGGTTCCCAGCCCACAGCAGTCATTCCTGTGAACATTCAGCGAGTGGAATGCCTGATACTGGATAATCGACGCATAACCTATTGGCAAATTGCACAAGAGACGGTGAACACAATGATGAAGTGAAGCAGGCCGTCCTAAGATGGTTCAGGTGTACTGACAAATCTTTATATACCAAAGCTTTCCAGACATTAGTTAAATGCTGGGATAAGTGTATAAATGTACCAGGGGAGTATGTAGAAAAATAAATTTCAGTTTCTACTCCTTGAAATTTGTTATTATATTATATATACTCAAAAGTCCAGGTTGGACTTGAACGCCAAAATACACACAATGTTTTTTTTTTTTAATTTCGGTTATAAAATTTTGCAAATAAGTCATTTTTCTCTTTCAATGTGCACTGATGAAGAGGTATCGATAGGTGGCACTGATGCCCACCCATAGGCTGCACTGAAGAGGCACTGATGGCCACTAATGGGCACCTGATCACTGAAAGATGGCGCTAATAGGAAACACACTCCCTGTCCACTCTCTGGCAGAATCTGGCACCGGAAACTGCAATCACAGCACCCAGCTGTCAAACTTGGAAGGAGATGTCTGAGGTGGGTGGACAAGGAGAGCAAGGGGAA